TGAAAACCAGTGTGACTAGTCAATAACAAAGAAGACAACCAATCACTGAGATTCAAGATAAGTGGAACAGGTGGCTAGAGTACTTTGAAGAACTCCTGAATAGACCAGTCCCATTACACCCGCCAGACATCGGAGCAGCACCTACAGACCTTCCTATAGATGTTATTCCATCAACAAATGAGGAAATCAGCATGGCCATCATACAAATCAAGATTGGGAAAGCAACAGGACCAGACAATATACCATCTGAGGGACTTAAGTCAGACATATAGGTAATTGCAGAGGTGTTCCACATTCTCCTCAGAAAGATTTGTAGGAAATAAAAAATACCAACGGACTGAAAACAGGGATTCCTTATCAGGATACTCTAGAAATTAGACCTCGGTAAGTCTTAGATCTACAGAGGCATCAGTACTAGGGAAAGTGTTCTACAGAGTATCAGTTAACCGAGTGAAAGATTAAGTAAACGCTAAACTTAGAGCTCAGCAGGTTGAACTTTGTAAGTATCAGTCATTTTCCGACTAAATCGCAACAATACAGCTCATTGTTTAGTAGTCAACTGAATCGAACTTGTCGCTGTACACCAACTCTCTTGATTATCAAAAGCATTTGACAGCGTAGATAGGAGAACCTTGTGAACTCCTCTTCGATACTATGGGGAATCTAAAACGATCACCATCAAACGGAAATCCTATGATGGACTGATTTGCAAGTCGTGTACGAATGGCAACCAACAGATGCAATCCAAACGACGACCAATGGAAGACAAGACTGTCAACTCTACCATCCCTCTTTCTTCTGATTGTTGACTGGATTATGATGACCATCATATCTCGAGTGAAGCATAGAACACAATGGCAACCTTGGACGCGACTAGACTATTTGAACGTTAGAGCTGACTTAGCATCTTTATTGGATGCACAGTGACAGATTCAGATTGCCAGTATATTAGTGTCCTTCAGAGCAGTATTCCCCGAAATTCGTGAAGGAAGAATCAAGTTCTTGAAATAAATCAAGAGAGATGCAAACAAACCACAACTAATAACACAGCTCTGGAGAGATAAAAGTCTTCACCTACCTGGGTAGCATAATTGATAAAGTAAGGATGATCAGATGCCAGATGTCAAGGCACGAGTCAGGTTAAAAATAAGTAGTATTCCTACAGTCCACGAATAACTGGGGCCCAAATTAACTGTCATCCAACACCAAAGTAAGGAAGTCCTGGCGCAAAGTTGCAGGACAACTCTGCTGAACGGAGCTGGAACCTAGAGAATAATCACTACAGTCATCGAAAAGTACAAGTATTTATAAATAGCTGTCTACGCAAGATACCCCAGACCCATTAGCAAGACGCCATTATTAATAACCTAACCTGGTATGAAATAAAATTAGCATACAGCTGAAGAGGAAATTCCCAAAAGACACTGGAGGTGGATAGGACATATATTACGAAAATAGTCAGACTGAATAGCGAAGCACGCCCTAAATTGGAATCCTAATGGCAAAAGGAAAAGAGCCAACATAAAGAACACATTGAGCCAGGAATCGAAGACAGACAAAAAATCATTTAGAAGATTTGGACTTCATAGATGACTTGGCCTCTCCATACCATACACACCAACAAGGTCAGATGAAAACAACCAGTGTAAAATAAGCCTCCGCATCAGTAGGCCTCAACATATACAAGGGAAAAACCAAGATCCTCAAATACAACACACAAAACATCAACCCAATCACAATCGACGCAGAAACTCTGGAAGAGGTGAATTCTTCCACTTACCTGGATAGCATCATCGATAAACAAGGAGAATAAGATGCAGACGTAAAGGCGAAGACTTATAAAACAAGTACCGCGTTCCTACAATTCAACAACATATGGAAATCAAAACAACTGTCAACTAACATCAAAGTCAGACACTTCAATACGAACGTCAAGAATGTTAGTTCTACTGTATGAAGCAGAATCTTCCAGAACTACCACAATCATCATCGAAACAGTACAAGTATTTATAAACAATTGTCTACACAAGATACTCAAAATCTATTGACCGAATACCATCAGTAACAGCCTTCTATGGGAGAGAACTAATCAGCTCCAACATGAACAGGAAATTAGGAAACACGTTGCAAATGGATATGACATTAGAAGGATGAATAGAAAGAAATTGGTCAGGACAGAGTTGGATGGAGAACGCTGGTGGTCAACCTATGCTCCTACATTAGGGGTAACATGCGTGAGGCAGTAAGTATAGTTAAATCATAACCTATTCTCATTTAAAATATTCTTCACTTTTCAACTCACAAAATCACACTATAATCTCCACTTTTCTATTATTTCTTCTACATGAATTTACTCTTATTTTACGGCTTTAAAGTCAGTCTAATGCTCTATCCTTTCACCTGTTGTATCCACTCGTATTTACTAGACTCCAGAAAATTCCATTTGTATGCAAACTAATGAATAAACTTGTTTATCATTTTTTAGTATACTTCAATAAGATTGTAACAATGTTAAAAATGAATGAAAATATTTTTGTCTTGGGAATATTTGACTTTTTCTAATTAGTTGAATTAATGAGTGGATCTGAGTCCGTCCACCACTGAAAACCTGGGAGCACCGGATGGCCGTATGGTCCTGATGTGAGACCACTCAGTAGTGATCATTCACGATTCTGCACGCGGGACTAGAACCCATGATTTCCGATCTCATTCTGATTAGTCAAATGGTAAGAATTTGACTTTTCGGAGTAATTCAGAGTGTGTTCCTTTATATAAGCTAATCGTTTACTAGTCATTAAGTGTAAAATCAATAATATGAGTGTATTTTTGGTTATAGATGACGTGTTTTCGTGACTTTCGGAGAATTAATAAATCCTTATAATCAGTTTTTCTGTTCTCACAAAAGTGGTGGGGAATTACAGGGTTGCTGTTCGAATAAGCAATAAGATCATAAATTAGTCTCTTTCTTGTTAAAAAAATTGCAGACATTCTTTATATCTATCTTTGATATTCAAATGGCACAGTCAATGATAAAGGTCAGAACTATTAGGCTTGACTTAAGTTCTTAGGTAGCTGTCGGTGGTCAGCAGGAAACATTGAACTTAGATTTCGCGCTAGGATGTATTAACTATCAAAGTGTACTTGTAATCTCAAGAGAATTTATACTCCCTGTGGAAGTCGAACCAGAATCAGTTTGAGATTTCACCGCTGAGCTATTCGAGCTAATATTCAGAACTATAATTGTACAACTGTAGCATATATGATTTACATATTCAAAATAATACTTCTACCAATGTTTGGGTTATCATACAAAAGTCTACTTTATCAAACGACTGTTTATCATTAGTTCTAATAAGCTAACTATGACAGATAATTCTTCAACAATCTAAATCATCACATGTCATTTAGATCATTATTTGCTTATTCTAAAAAATAATGGACTTTATGAATTATTCGTACAAAATTTCATCTTACTAATCACCTTTGATCATATCATATTTAGCCAATGCTATCTTATTCATGTGATAAAATTATACAAACACCGCATTTTTTTCATGTAAGAAAATGTTCTGGAATGTATGATAACCTGTTTATTCGATGCCCTTTATAATTTGAAAGGACCGTGTGATTCTCTAAAGAAAACGGTCGCTTAACTTTGAGAATTAGTGAAAACGAATGATCCATTGGTGAGACTATAATTTATGGACGACCTTTGAGCGAAGCTGAAGTGACCTTGAGCGTGGACACCTACTGATTAGGACTAAATAAGAGCTATAAAGCAGTTAGAATTCTCATTCACAGTTGATGGTTTGGGTTAAGAATTAGATTTAAGGTTTTCATCACGAATTGACACCAGCTATAATGCCAAAACTCTATTCAGCCAAATGTATTGATGAATTCTGATTGGTTTGTCCATAAATTATAGTCTCGCCGATCCATTTAGCAAATAAATAAGATTTAAATTTTGTATAGAATAGACTTTCAATTAATCTGAAGTAAAATAGACGGTGGGGATTAATTTATCACTGAAAGATAGCTCAGAAAAGATTCCAATCTCTACATGCGATTCTTAAGTGAGCTATTAATATGACACAACCATCATCAATAACACTGAATAACATTAAAACGACAGTTCACAACTGTCTTCATATAAGTGAAGAGCTTTTGACACCTTCCCTCTTGTCACTCAAATCTGTTTCCCGCTTATTGTTATTGTTAAGACGGAATTTGTGCAGTGATTAGTTTCTTAGTAACGATGAGCTGTTGTAATCAAAATATCACATCTGAACATGGTTGGACAAGCATTTAGTGTATGTTCGGTGGTTAAACGTCATATATTCTTTAATAATCTTGGTTATTACCCTGAAGAACACCAGACAAGACTGCCATACGAAACCCTGGGATCATTTAAATTTCAATCGCTGAGATTATTTTAAATTTTTATAAACGTCTTTTATATAAACGGTGCCCGATTTCTGTCAAACCATTCGTTCAAATACTAATAAATACTGACTAGTATAAGCTATTTTGTAGCCATAGTATCACTGGTTTTGATTCAAGCGTGAACATGTAAACAAACAGAGATAATTTGTTTTACAGAAAAAAAATGTGTGCGCCTATACATACCGAGCACATGTTTCGATAACACTTAAACCAATCACTATTTTGCTTAATATTTATGGTCATACTCTCAAAATTTATTAGTGGCGGTAAAGAAAAAAAACTCAGCCAATCTACCTTTCATTTTATTCATATATACTCTTCATATACAAACAATAAAAGAAAACAGAGGACATTAATCAATAGGAATAATTACCACTTTTATTTACGTTTTTGTACAGATCAAGTTAGGATAAAAAGTTGCTTCCGCCCATATACAAACGTTACATCATATTACATAATATAATAATAATAACAGGATAATTGTTTATGTCCCTCAACCAGAAAAAAAGTATATTAGAGGATAGAAAATTAAGGTAAATTAGATGAGAGTCTGGCAATCATGAATCAGATGAGTCCACTGATGATCCTGTGGCTAAAGCACGTTGATTCCAATATATGAATAATTTAGATGTGTCACGTATCTGTCACACAAGAAAGAAAAAAACCAAGTGAGATTTGTGCGATCTATCAAATAGATTATATGAAAAGAGAACTAACGGAGCAATGACAAAAAACGAAAGCTATTTTAGGGGACACTGTTTAGTTTAACTCGAAATTCGTAAAGTGCTAACATTTAATTTTGTCCCTAACTTATTCTATGAATCCTAAGCTTTTGTTTAATGCGCAAATTGTGATCATATTCTTTTCTATTCCAAAATCACTGTAATTTAAAAGTGACCCTTGTATCCTATTCTTCTACTCCAATGTCCTAATTTGGATATGATCATATTATTCTTATTCCTTGTGTACTATGATCCTATTAGTTATCTGTTTAATCAGATAACTTTTCTGAGTTAGTTGGATCAGGACTAAATCGGTTATACAGTTCCAGACAAATCTGCTCTCTCCTCACCAACCAGTTTGCTCATATGTCAAAAGTTGGATAGTTTCTTCTATCCGCCCCCAAGTCCATCCAGTCACAAATTGGACTCATACTCTACAAATCTCAAGGTTATACTAAGTAAACTATTATGTCAGGGTCGTAAACTCTCTGTATATAAAACACCAACTAGTGTGCAGGCAAATCAAGGTTGTAACAGACGAAAGGAAAACAATTGTTGAATATGTCAATTTTATTTTAACTAATGATGTGAGAATCGTATTGGGAAATAGCTAACATACAGCATTACATCTTAATCACATTGTCTATTTTAGTAAATTAGTTGTTCTTACTGTTTTATTTTTAGCTAAGGATTTATATCTTGTCCTCCCTGCTCAGGTAAATGATGCTTCAAAGATAATGATCAGTGACTTTCAGCGTCACCAATCTTTAGTAGCTATATAATGGAACAGACAGCATAGTTGGGTTACATATATGGCTGGCATAGGTCATAAGTTTAAACATTGCATACTAGTAGCATAAGAGGTTTATGGGAACTGATCAATCTGTGGTACATATTACGGACTGAATTTAGTCAAATAACCACTGAAAACCAGTGAGCATTATTTTGCACTGATTAGAATTTCCATATAAAAAAGCAGTTGTTCACTGCTTCGTATTTTGAATGATTTTGTAACTAAAATCCACTAGTGATGTGGACTCTCCCAAATAGTTCAACACACAAGTGTGTTCATAAATATTGTAAACATACTGATTCAAGCCTACATTTTACCTACTGTCACAATAATTATACAGTGAAAAGGTTATCATCAATGTAAACTTTTAATGTAAAGTTTATGACCGATTAATGTGAAGCTCACGAATTCCGTAAGTAAATGACACATAATAGATTTAATCTTAACACTCCGCAACAACACACAACATTCAAGGCATAATTAACATCAAACATGACACAACAACACAAGAGGAGAACTTGAAGAAATGATATATAGAATTACATTTATTATTAAAAATGCCTTGGATGATAGAACTGTTTTAAGTAGATTGACATGCTCATATACAACGGACTTAATCAGCCACAATTACTTTTTTAAAGTTATTTACGATTCTAAAGTTGAACTGAAATTTATTTGCATTGCAATGAAAGAATTAGCCAGAGTAAAACATTGAATAATGGTAGAAACGATTTTTCTCACTTAAAACTTTTAGCATCTCATCAAACTGTTTACTTCATACTTCTGCTCCCACGATAGTTACGGTGTGTGTGTGTTTTTTCAATTTTATTTTCCCATACAAGGTTAGTGATAATCTATGCAAATGCATTGAGTAATAAGAATACAACTTTTTTTAATCTCGTATCTCATTAAGTTCTTAAGTGAAGAGCTAGGTTTATAAACGACGTAGTATAAAGGTATTAGATCTCAATCGCATGAAGTGTGCAATTTAACAAATATAAAGTACAAAATAAAAACATACTAATCATTCAAGATATATCGGATGATTAATAGATTATTTAAATCAGGAAAGAGATGACAGAGTGAAACAAAAATGTTACAGACAATTCAAATCACTAACACATATAACATACCAAATTATGATATGTGTCCAATAAAGCTTGTGTATCAGCGATCAACTTCTCGGACATGACATATTGATCATTATGTACCATTCGTAGATCTTCAAACTTCTGTTTTAACATGCTGATTTCTAAAACAGATAAACTTCTACATGAAAAAAAACTAACCTCCAAATGCTGGATGATTTAAACAATCTCGCAACTTTGAAATCTTTTCAAGATCACTGCCGATTTTCTCTATCCTGTCTCGTTCTAAAATAATAAAATTTAGAGGTAAAACAAAATGTATGAGATGTCTGATACGTAAACTGATCATAAATAAAAATAATGCTTGAAAAAAGTAAAATGGGGATAAACTCCACGTTGTCAAGTCATATAAGTATTGTAGTCAGTAAAATACGATTACTTTTTCGTCTATTTAGTCATTTAATTGTAGATGTTTAGGAATAATTTCTATTAAAGAATTAATTGGAGGTGTATGTGGATTACGATAGCGTAAACAGTAATTCTCACTTCATTTTGATTAATCGCCAGGCGTAAGATCAAAATGGCGTATGACAGTGGTGTTTATTCCTAGTCGAAAAGTATTTTTAACAAGATACATTTAAATATTACATGCCATACTGACCCAATTATTGATCTATTAGTTGAATGATCCTCAAATATTTTAAAAAGCACATATGTATATAATTTCAAGTTACCATATTCCATTAGGACAAGGAGATGAGATGGTCATAGCAAATCACTACTGAAAATGAATAACTATGACTAACGGTTTAAATATTTGGAACATCAGTTGTGAGAGCTTACATTAAATACAAGAATTGCTCATCATTCCTTGTTAAACAGGGAGTTTTTTTAAAAAAATTCTGGATTAAATCGGTAATTCGCATTCACGTCATATTTTCTGATACAAGCTACAACTGTTTGGAATATTTTTTACAACTAGGTATCAACCAAACGTGAAGCGCGAAATAAGTCATAAAATGTCGCAAATTGATTTACGATAATGAAATCCTAGAAGTAAAAACGATATCACAAAGTAAGCAAACGAATAAAATCGATAGTTCCGTTGCACAAACCTATACATACTTCATTAAACATACGATATTAAACAATGAGGATAGATTTCAAAAAGAATAGAAAAGTAAGAAAGTTTACCTCTACAGCATTCCGTTACTGCATTTACAAATAAAAATCTACACAGGTTAACTATAAGATGTGATAGAGACTGGTCTATGATCAACCAAGCATGTTAGAATTATGTTGATTTTATTAACTATCCATCAAATGGACTTTAGGTTCCAGAGCCCTATCATTTATTTTGATTCTCGAGAACGAAATAGCCTCCTTAGTATTTACTTTCTATATATTGTACCTTAAAACAGACAACACGATTTTGTACTAGATTACAAGTTATATTGACAAAGTGAATTGACATAATATTATGCGGTCCAGAGTTATGCAGAACATATGGCATAAACATTAAGTGACTTGTTGGGATAATCCAGAAAACTTCTCGCAAAAGACAAGAAAGGATCAGGAAACACTAGGATGCATTTTATCCAATCAGCGTTCACTTGAAGTTCAGCCAGAAACATCAAGAAAGTGAAAAGTCTGATTACTACACCGCTACTATGTCTAGTAGCATTCCAGAATTTTCGGGAAACCCAAAGACATCTAAAATACAATAAAAACGCTATATTTTCAGTACTAAAATGAGCCTTTACAGTGAAGTGCTTCTTGTATATTTTGTGCCTTTTCTCCCGTGTTCAGGTCGCTGCGTGGTTTTGGCTTCGGGGTTACGACAATAGCTTAGGACCGGATATAGCATTCAAATTAGCAAGACTTATCATGACTGAATGTTGTCGGCAAGAAATACTGCTCAATCTAGGTTACCTACTAGTTGACACTCGTCAGTCAGTCAGTCAGCTACAACGTAGGACCAGGCACATATATGCATCGGTCCATGTTGCCACACCTCATTAGCACAGCAAGATGAACACCGGATTCATAGAAGTCGTTAATTCAATGATGGTAATACATAAAAGAAAGATTGCATATAAGGAAATAGTACAGGAAGAAAGAATTAGTTCGTAGAAAGAAAGATATGAAATGATTTTAATCTCCTAGTTTAAGGGAAGACAGAGAGTGTATGCATCGACGCCATTGTGATCGGTTCTGAGCCATGTCACCAAGAGTCTCCAACCATTAGTTACGACAGTCACGCGGACCACAACCAAGTAGTCTGAATCTATCAACATGGCTCAGACTAGACGTTGATGACTTCAAGCAGTGATGCTACGTTTTGGTTTGACCACCCCTAACTTTCTTCCAACCATCTCCAACACCGGTTAGCATTGCATGTCGTGGTAATCAGTGTTCAGACATGCGTAACACGTAGCCCAACCATCTCAGTCGATGAAGATTCACAACCTCATCAACTGATTTACCATCATTTCCTAATACCCTGCGTCTAACCTCACTATTACTTATCCGGTGATCCCAGCAGACACCAGCAATATTTCTAAGGCATCTGTGGTCAAACACTAGTAGCTTACGAGTGTCTTCTACTCTTAAAGGCCATGTTTCGCTGCCGTAAAGTAAAACAGAACGGACTGCCGCACAGTATACTCGTCTTTTTATTGATAGACGGATATCTCGCCTTCGCCAAGGTGACGTAAGTTGGCAAAAGCCAAACGAGCTTTTCGAATCCGTGCTGAGATTTCGTCCGATACCAGCCCGATAGGGCTGGTCAGACTTCCAAGATAAGTGAAGTTGTCGACGCGTTCGACCACTTCACTCCCTATCCTTAGTTTAGGTGATGACGCAGGCCAGTCCTGAAGCAACAACTTGCATTTAGAAGGAGAGAAGCGCATTCCAAACATTCTGGCATTGTTGCTCAGTGCTACCAGAAGACTCTGCATTTTGTCAGCGTCTTCACCAAACAGGACTATATCATCTGCGTATTCTAAGTCGATAAGTGGACCTCCTGGTAGGAGATCAATACCTGAGAATTCAGTCGACGAGAACGTTATTTCCATCAGCAGATCTATGATGAAGTTAAACAAAAATGGAGAAAGTGGACAGCCTTGACGGACACCACTTGAGGTTGCAAAAGTAGATGACAGTTCGCCATAAGCTCTGACTCGACTAGTAGTGTTCGAGTAAAGAGCCTTTACAAGGTTTATGTATTTCTGGGGTACGCCTTTCAATGACAGACACTGCCACAGAATCTCGCGGTCTACCGAGTCAAATGCTGCTTTTAAGTCAAGAAAGACCACCATTGTCGGACGTCGTTAGTAAAGTATACCTGAAATCTTGAGGGGAAAATGGTGCTTCTTGGTAAATTCACACCTGAATCGTTTGGTTTTATAATCTGAGATGCTACAACTGTCATTTGGGCCACAACTAACATTCTGTGGGAATGACATACTTGCAAATGATTAATCACTGAATAGTGACCGATGTTGCATGTCTTTTAGTATAGGCAAAAGATGACGAAAAGTAGTTTAAAAGTGAGAATAGATAAATTTGGAATGATAATGTGAGTTGTCAGAAACCAGCATGAGGAAAGGATATAATATGATGAAATAAAAACCCAAGAAATATTTATTCGTTAAGTGTTGGATACTTACTATTTGATAGAATAAATGGCAATTCATGACTGTGAGTAGTCAAGAAAATGGAAAAATTTGAGAACTAAATACGATTGAATTTCATGAGGTCAACGAACCGTAACGTGGTTAGTAGGTTGACAAGTGTTGGTGGTTTTTATTCCGAAAAGTTGTCTGTTGATATACAGTGCTGAATGACCACAGAAATGAGTTTATTAAATGATCAAAACTATTTTAAGAGTAACATAGTTCATAAAATTACGAAGTTAAATATCATTGTCTCTAATTTCTATTGGTGAAAACTGATTTACTGAAACTCTCTGTTTAAACATAACGATATATTGAATACGACTTTCCCGTAATAAGTTTTAGAAGTTTTAGGCAGTTGAAAGGTTAGAATCATACAACTACATTTATGTCGGAATAGCATAACAAGCTACTAAATAGACGAAGCTTTACTTACTCGTTACACGTACGTTTCGCCCACCAAAAAAAAAACTGGTCTAGAATTTATTCTAAGTAGATGACAACAAAGTACTATCACCAAAACTACTTATAAACTATATCGAATAAACACATTCTTTATTGTACTTACGAGCTAAAATAATTTCAATTTTAGACTGAGCCAAAAGTGTATCATCTTCCATGAAATTTGGATCGGTATATTTTTGAATCTCATTAACTAGACAAAAAGAATTATTGAATAGAAGGTAAACACTGTAAACAGAAATGAAAAAAAATCCCTTACTTCTTGATAGTAATTTACTACTAACTGGACGTTTTTCAGCAACTGATATAGCAGAGTATAGTTCATACAGTTGATCCACTAATTCTAAATATATATTTAATAAAGAAATTAATAAAATGAACTAATAATTAGGTCAACTTTTTCATGTTCAGTTGTAAGCCTTTTCACTGATTTAGTAGGTCCAAATACTAAATGTTCTAGTTCGGATACTCGCTTCTCTAACGTTTCAATATTCATTGTTGATGACGGCTAAAGAAATAAACAGATAATTGTTCAACTACTTATATACAAGGTTAGTAGGGTATTACAAACTTAACAAAATATTGAGTAAAAGAAGTCATAGTGGAAATAAGAAATGATATATTTTGTATATTTACTTCGTGTGCCTGGTACATTATTAATTTCTTTATATGCACATTATACAATTATATGTTTTAAACAATTGCAAACTAATAAGATCATGAAGGATTAGGTTGTGGTAATCGAAATCCTTTTAGTTGTATCTCCAAGTCGTAAAAACCAAATGTTTTATGTTCATAGTACTCTGGTACATTGTAGATAGTTCCCGTAGACTTGTTCTTTTCATTTTTAATAGATTCTACAGCTGAAAAAATAAATATTAATAAACTGTTAGAAGTTGAATCCTTACTTTTCTGAGTTTTACTATCGAGATTATGTGGTGGTGAGGAATTTGTCGTACTAACTAGTCGTAATGAACATGCAGTCACACTTCCTCTTGGTAGCAAATTCAATAGTCTGATAGACTGCATTAAACTGTAAAATAAAAATTATTTATATGTGTGCTATCTGGTATTATCAGTTCTTGATGAAACTACAGACATAATAAACAGAATTATAACCATATCAAAAGGACGAAATTATAATTTTATGATTTTATTACAACCATTAGCTGTTAAAAGTGACAAACAGAATGCACTTCTCACTGTAATCGAAAATTAACTTTGCTCATTAAAGTGACCAGAATAAACAAGCAAACCATTAAATTAGATAAATGTATATCTCTTTCCATAAAGAGTGATGTTTAACAATACTTTACATGAAGCATTCAGTTCTGTTTACAAAATAAAAAATAATTAACTCCAAGTGTCTCTGGACAATAACATGTTGGATTTGTGCAGGGCTTCTTCTAAGCATTGAAAATACACAAAGTCGAATGGGGAAATAAACTGATTATCGTGCGAAACGAAAGACATAGCTCCGTGCAGTATCATGAAATGCCTCAGGATCACGTAAGTATTGTTCTGCAGCTGTTGTATTCAGTGCATCGTTGAAATCGCATAAATCCGAAAAAAGAGATTCGATTCCCCAAACAACATCAAGCAAACGTCTTGTTGGTGCCCAACCAGAGAAATCTAGCGAACTCTGACGAAGTAAACTCAAACAAACACGTCCAGCTTCATCGATATTCGGATGCCAAATTTGTGTAGTACAATTGACTAGTGGTGGAGTGTGATTGTAACCTTCGGGAACAACAATATTGAAATGATAACTTCCATCAGCCCAAATTCCTTCATTTGGTCTTACTATTAATGTGAATTCATGGAGTTTGTTTGGATCGGGATGATGAATTGAACATTGGGAGGATATATTAGCCCTTAACTCTTGCAGTTCCTGTAACACAAGACGATCACGGATAGTAGCATTTCGAACGGAAGCCGATTGAACAGCATCTGGTTCTGTAGAGGTGATGCCACTTTGTCTTTGACGTATTTTATCCGCCAAACGAATCATTGGAACTACAAATTAAGAAGATAAAAACTATGACTAGAGTTACCTCACAACAAGAACGCTGACAATAAAATGTTACCGACCTTCAATGTGACTGCAAACAATTTGCCAATAAATTTAAGCTTCACAAAATAAGAAATATCTAAGAAACTTTAAAGAGGGGATATTCTTGAATTACCAGTGCTTGATTATGCGTATGTTTGAAATATCTCACGTATATTTATGGACCATCAAGTTGGCAATTCTGACGTTAAACATAGAGTACATAGTATGTATGGCAAATCGACAACCAAGGTAGTAAATATTTATCGACTTTGATGGTAGAAACATAAATTTTGTATGCTCAAACGCATCTCATCCGACGATCAATGGTGGAACGAGTGAAAATGGGCTGAAAGAATGTCAGAGGCAGCAAAACCAAGATACGGCATCAGTCCATGAAGTAATTGACAATTGAACTGACCCACTTTAACAGGTATAAACTACCTAGTTTTAGTTTAAATGATTATGGCAAGCAATAGTTAAAGACTTTGGGTGACATGACTTAAAATCGTTGGCAATAACCCAGATCCATTCACTCTTTGTCTACCCTCAGATCATAAGTTTCTAGATTGCTCATAAATTTTTAATTATTTCACTAATTTACATTTTCTTGAGTTGTATATTCGGTACATAATCTTTTCTATTACTACCTCCACTACTCTGGGGGTTGCTTTGACCATTTCATCTCGCAGTGTTAAGAAGGTATGGGAACTTTAAACGATATACACATGTGTCAGCTTCTACTTTGCGTCTGACTGGGTAGAAATAAGCAAATGACAAAAATAAAAATGGTGTAATCTAGTAGGCAATATCAAAGCTCATGTTTGAGTTATAAGTCCTACTACCCAACTGTCTTAATTTTAGTAAAAAGGAGCAGAATTTCTACCTGAAACCAAATAGTAAGTCAAGAGTACTGTCTAACCAAAGTTATAAAAACAATATGTCTAAAATAGATGTCAGCTCACTTACTAGTCAATCACAATTAACACAAAGCCCACAACAAACGTGCATTAGCCCAGGCTGCCATACCACATCAGCACAACAAGATGAAATTAACAAAATGAATATTAAAGAAATCGAAATAACCGTATTATCGATGATAACGAGAAGGATCAAGTACTGAGAAAATATGGTCTGAGAATACAGAATGAAAAGGTATGTATAAAAGAATATTAGAACTCAAGATATAAAGGAAGATAAAGAGTCAGTGTAACTGCGTCATTGTGACTGACTCTAAACCATTTCACCCACCCTTGCCATTCACTGACCGTGGTTATCGTTAGAACCTCAACCATTCGTCAAACCACTTTATTTTGTACATGAAGGTAGTTGAACAAATTAAAACAGAAAGTAATGGCACCCAACAAAAAATCCAAATACTATCTCATAACTACAGCATGAAATCAAAGCTTCCAAATGGTTAATGAAACAGTAACAAAAACTAGTCACTGGGAACCTTAAGTGATATAAGACAAAAAATATTACTAAATAACTATGAATCGAAGAGAATGAGAGCAAGTTACCACAAAACGCAAAAGTATGGTAAAATCAAATTAATAAAAATGTCAGGACATTTAATTAGATATGGAAAATACTGGTTTGACGCAGAAAGGAATGAGTCATGAAACATTCAAAATTTAGAGAGAAAATGATGGGTTCATGTGTTACTGTGACTGTTCTCAGGATATGCCATCAAGTAATTACCTGTGACATTTGTTTTTTATTAAGCTGAAATGTGGACTTTTTTTAAGTAATTCAGACCAACAGTTAGTAACCCTATAGTGCAGTATCATGTTTTCATTTCCTTATATCTAGTTTTTACCAGCCTAATCCTACTTTAACCAGGATTTTGACTGACAAATTCAAATTTATTATCGTTGTACAAGTTCCCTAGCCAAAGGATAAGTATACTGCGCAGTAGTCTGTTGTTTTAATTAATGGCCGTGAAGCATGACCACTAAATATATGGGATATTCGTTGAATACGACTGACTGACTAACGTTATGCAAACGTAACTGACTCGTGCTAAAGTAAACGTTTTCATTTTGTTTACCTAAGCCCATATATTAACAGGTTTGTCTGAAAATAATTTCTTATTTGGACAGAATGAAACCCAGTAATTCAGTGTATATAACTATATTAGACTGACTAATACCTATTACGTGAGGGTTAGTATTATTGGCTAGCTCAAAACTTTGGTAGGCATGGCTGATGAAAAATACATAACTCAAAATTCAGTTCGATATGCATTACTTGGACAACCAAGTTCCAGGGATAAATAATGAATTCAATACCATTTAATGTGCCTACTCATATATTCAATTCATGTATATATATTCCCTCGAGATATGGACATATAAGCGAAGCCGTCTATCCAGTACAACAACATATTTTTGCTGCTAATGAAAACGATATCTGGCTATCTTCATTTGGTTTTCAAAGTTATCTTGATGTGGAACCAGAAACAACACATTCAAGAATCAATTGCGGGGATTACTCTTGCAGGTCAAATTACAGTCGACAAATTGGTGTGACGGTAATAAAAATCCAGAACTTGGCTCAAATTTGGAGGCCAAATTACACCACTTGTTGTACCATAGCTCGACAAAGGTTTATTATTTTATGCAGAGCATAAGTATTTTCAACCAATCTCTCTACTCATTGACCTAGATCGGGTAAGAAACACTTTAGCCTACAGAGTTACGTAATGCGTGGGAGAAATCAAATTTTATTGCCGGAATGTCTGTCGTTGCTGCGTCAATAAGTATCGATCTCCGCGAAATCAAGGGGCAACGACTACACAATACTGATGTGTCCCTGTTCAAAATAAACTGTTATTCGATAAGGTTATACTGAAACGACCATCTATATATTTGAAGATGTGACAAACATGCGAGATTCCAACAGTTGTAATATTCAGCACAACCAAATGCAACTTTCGAATGCATTGACTGAATCGCATCGTATAACCAATGGGATGATTATTTAGTGGCATTTCTAAAAAATACCAGGTGACGCACCCACATAGTAAGCGTCTTCAAAGAGCTTTAATTCCTACAAAATACCTATTTCCGTTATGAATAAAAAACACAAACGATACAACCTCGTTATAGTAATTCCCGCTAAACCAAAAACTACGGACAATTAGTGATAATCTGAAAGAAGTGGATAAAATACTCTCTCGTCTTTGGTCTATTTGTGCAGGTGAGATTCGTCTTTTAATTATCAGGCCAATATAAAGCACAGCAGTGAGTTCTGTATTGCTCTGAAGTTGTGAAATATAGCTTAGGGGAGTAGATATGAGTCGGCTTCTAATATTTGATTCTAGATACTTTAGAAGTATTAATGAGGTTCGCTAACCCCACCCTTCAGACCCCATTATGACAAATATGAGCACTTGGACTTCTTTGCATTCGTTCAGCCAACTTTCTTCGCCGTATGATAGCTTGGAACAGTACGTGCGTTTGACTTTACATTTTCAGAACTAAACGAATTCAGTCTAAATTAATAACATACCACTGGTTGGTGAGCGTTTCGGAAACAATAGAAAACCATAAGTCGACCGTAAATGCTTGAATCAGCCGATAAAACCAGTTTTTAGTCGTTCTAACGTGTATCTAGTCATGCGATAAAAACTGGACACTAGTTAGTATCGTATATATCACATGGTTGAAAAAAGGTAGCATACTCGGAGTTTGAAAAATTTGCCCTATAAAACGAGAGATGTGAGCCCCATCATCTATCGAAGTGAAACCTCACCTAGAAACACAATTATATATATATATATATATATGAATGGAGTGAGTGACATTGCACGAATCCCTTTCAGACACCTCAAATGAGCAGAAAAATGCATTTAAAGTCAATGAATTGCTGGTACTTGCACAACAGGTCGACAATTAGCGCAATACTTCTGGTAATTTTAGTTCCAGCACAATTACTTCATTTTCAGCCAACCAATACACATTTCCAGAAAAAA